TGGGGGTGACGCTGCGCAAGGACCATGACAACGCCCGGTGCTTTGCTGAAGGTATCTTGGGGGGCCTTGGCACAGCGGGAGGTGTGGGCACCCACCGCTTAACACTGCTCTTTGCTTCCACATGCTGCACGGCTGGGTTGGCGTGGGCTCACCTCAACCAGCACACCCAGCACTGCTGCGGAACAGTGGCACGGGCACCTTCCCTGGCTGGATCTCCAGCCAGGACAATGTCGTGACTGTCCCCATGGTGCCACATAGAGAGGAGGGCAAAGGGCCCATCCTTCAGCCAGGACCAGGGCAGCCTCCCTTCCCAGTTATCTGGGTGCTGGGCTCGGTGCCTGCCACCCTGCCTTCCGCAGGCATCCAGGAGCTGAGCTCGCCCCTCTGCTCTGTCAACCTCGCAGCGGTGGAGACTAACATCGTGATGGTGAACATCGGCGGGGGCTGCCTGTCCCCTGCGGAGCTCTGTGAGCATCTGCAGTCTGTGAGCGAGGAGGAGCTGGCTGAGACCGGCCACGCTGTCAGTGTCCTGCTCTTCCCCTGGTCGGCACATGCCGTGCGTGCCGTCTGGCACCGTGACATCTCAGCCCGCGATACTGAGCTCGCAAAGAACAAGCTGGAGTTTGTGGCCAGGAAGTGCCAGGAGAAGCTGGCCCTGGGGCTGCGCCCGACCCCTCCGAGCGCAGGGGGAGCCTGAGCATCCTCCCAGCCCTGTCCTGGCAGTGAGTGCATCCATGCCACGTGCAGCCCTGCAAACCAGTGTGAGCCCAACCCCGGGGACACCCCAGCTCACCCGGCAGTGGGAGCATGTTCACAGACCTGCCCAGAGGGACCGAGGGGAGCCCACAGCTCACCCTGCAACCCAGGCCCCTCAGAGGCAGTGTCCCTGCAAATGCATCCTCAGGGCATCCTTTAGACCCTACAGCAGCTCAGCTACTGTAACTTGGGTCCCATAGAGCACCCAAAGGTGGAGCCAGACACCCCCTACCCCAAAGCTACATATTGTGCCTGGCTCTCGTGCACTGCACGGGTGCGAGCATGCTGCAGTGCGGAGGCAGATCACAAGGGATGGTCAGGGCACGAAATAAACATGTTCTGGCAGTGCTGTGGCTGTGCAGGGTGTTTCCTCCCAAGTGTGCTGCTCTCCTAACTGTGCAGCAGGGACATCATCGCAGCCCTGAGGTCCCCTCTGGCTTAGCACAGCCCCAGCTCCCTGGGAAGCAGTTCCACCCAGGCAGCAGTTATTCCTGGTTTATTTTGGGTTGGCAATAAGCAGTTTAAAGGGAACAAACATCATCACCTGTCAGTCCAGACAGAGCCCTCCGGGTCTGCCAGCCCCATGCACTCCAGATGGGCAGAAACACCCCAGCAAAGAATGCTGTCCTCAGTGGTAACTGGTGCTCCCTTGCTTCAGCTCCCTGCCCAGCTCCAGGCATCAGCCGCAGTGAGGACAGCAGGGCTGGGTGTGTGCAGGGCTGTGGCTCCCATCTCTGTTAGCTCCCTCCATGCCATCAGGCTCTCAAAATCATGTTCAGAATCACCTGGGACAAGGAGCGGAGCCCTGTGAGCAATGCCTGACCCTACTTCTCTGCTCCTGAAGCCCTGAAGCTGCAGCCCCAACACCCATACACAGGGACATCTCCCCTCAGCACAGCCCCCCTGGGCTGCAGATCTCAGCTGTGCCCGAAGTAGAGGGAGGACTGGGGCTCTCCCCTACCTGAGTGAGGATGTAGCTGTCCTCAGACAACTTCTCAACAATGTCAAAGTGATCCATACCGGCAAGATCCAGCATGGACACGGACCAGCCAGCTGCACGCAGGGCCTTTTTTTTTCTGGCAGGAGGCCCCCGACCCCCATCCGCAGCTGGAACCACGGCTCAGCAAGGACAAGCATCCGCCCTGAGCCACTGTCATCTTCAACAGCAGCAGGAACGCTGCTCTGACACAGCACCTGAGCCCTTCCTCCCAGCCCGGTGGGTCCTGGCTGCTGCCAGCGCTCACCAGGACGTATTCCTGCGACTGCCGGCGGAACTCCGGGGAGTCGTGCTGGGCCACGGCCAACAGGACCTCGCAGCAGGCTGCGGCTGCAGGCGCCTCCGGGGTGATGTGCAGCATCGGGCTGTTCCGCTGGGCCACCTCCCTGAGGAGACACCGCGGTGGCAGCGGCTGCAGCCCCGTGTCCTGGGACAAGTGCCCCGGGCAGGCAGAGGGCACAGCCCTGCTCACCGGCTCATGTTCAGTGCATCGTTCACATAGGTGTGCAGGATGGGCTCAAGGTCGTAGACGCCACTCACCAGCACAGCTCCTGAGGCAGAGGAGGGTTGTGAGAGCACTCTTCTTGTGCCCTTGTCACATCCCAAACCTCTGAGAGTGGCTGGTGGGCACAGGGGCAGCTTGTCCAGGAGACAAGTTCCACACTCCCAGCACCTCCTGGCTGCCATCAGCTTGGGCAACTTGTTTCCCTCAGCTCTACAGCCCCATATGGGTAGCAGAGACACCTCATCCCCGGTGCAGACACCAGCTCCTCTTGAGCTCCTGTGCCTGGACACGGTGCTGCTACCTTTGATATCCGGCACCACCCCATATTCCGTCCAGTCTGTGGACAACACCATGGCTGCCAAGTGAGCCCCCGCCGAGTGTCCACACAGGTAAATGCCTCTGCAGAGAGGGAGCCATAAGTCAGTGCAGGGAGCGATGGTGTCTGGAGGCACCCTGCTCCCTCTACAAGTGCCACAACCCAAACACATTTCCTGCTCCATCAGCTGACACCTCACACGGTGACACGGGAACATGGCCACGGGCACTGCCCAGTGCTCGAACTGAGCTGTCAAAGCCCCATCACAGCTCAGGGCTCAGCTGCCTCCCCCCACACTAAACCACCCAGGGACCAACATGGGCACAGTTTGCCTCGAAGACCCGATGGCAGCATGCCGGTGGGGCAGAGGGACGCCAGGGGCAGCCTGTGGCTCACCTGATCCCAGGGTAGCGCTCCACCAGGAAGGCGATGCTGCGGCGCACCTGCAGCACGATGGAGTCCATGTGGCCTGGGCAGAGCAGAGTGTTGGGAGGGCGGCGGGCCAGTGGGGGCAGCCGCCGGCCCTTCTCCCAGCCAGCACCTACCTTTGGGCGCAATGTCGTAGCCCACAGCCACCAGCCCCACACCCTGTGACACCAGTGGGGGGGCTGCAAACCCTGACTCGTCTTTACTGGGGGAAACAGAAGGTGGCCAGGCTGTTGGAGCCGGGGTCTCCAGGGCCGGCCAGACCCAGTGTACGAAGAAGCAGCCCAGTGTCATGAGAAGGGAGGTGGTAACGGTGGGGCCAGGGACTCCGATCCCAAGGGATGCCTCACCTCAGGCACTGCCAGTATCCACCATGGATGTAGACCAGGACAGGGAAGGCTGCACAGC